AGAACATGTTCCGTGCACCCAGTTCATTACTGAAAGCCAGTTACCTTTTCAGCCCTGCATGCTTGTGTTTAGGTATTTCAGGTAGTGAGCAAAGCTTATATGTGGGTGGGGAATTACCAGCTGTCCAGGCTAAAGTGTGAAGACGTGGACAGAACATTGGTCAGGAGTATCAATGTTAATGTCAGCAAACACTGTTTGTTGGCCATATTGTGACGGAAATCTGCTTACAACCAAGTTACTTCTGGCTTCAATTGCTGCTGAGGGGAAGATACGGACAGTTGCTTACAAACGTTACAAATTTTATTTTCTCAAGGTCCTCAGACCTTTCATATATATGTTCTTGAAAGATGTGAATACAGAAAATATGGTTTTGTGTGTGTTGTAGAGCACATGTATGTTCACCACAGGGAGGCACTGAACTAACTTGAGATTTTAAAAGATTATGGCATTTTCCCATGATAACGATACAGTGTTTTCTAAAGTACATATACATTACAAATATTTTTGTTTTATTTGCAGGGCAGCTTGGCTGTTGAGGAGAATTTAAAAAAAACATTAAAAAGGTTAATCAAATTAACTGCTTGTCATATTTCCCTTGTTCAGTTCTCGTTTCTTCCTGTACGTATCCCTCCTTTCCTGTATCTTGTAGGTCCGCTTAGCTGCATCCCGCTCCTCCTTCAGAACTTCCTTGTCATCTAGAACCTCCAGTCGTGGGAGCTGGCTGATGACGTACTGCCTTTAAGAGACATTTGTCAATGGATCGTTGACAAAAAGTCCAAGGAAGGTATGTTAAATGCAAGTCCTTCCCTTATGCTTCTAAAATCGTATGTTTTTCAAAAGTTCATTTCAAGTTGACATGCATTTCCTAATTTTAGTTCAGAATAACTCTTGCAGCGTGTGCTAAAACATTAGCAATCCGTTTCTTACAGTATAGTTTACGGAACTTTATTGTTGCTTTTAATACCCCAGTTCACCCGATTAGCTCTAAAAATAAATGAATGTCATAATTCATATATGAGCTACGGTATGTGAAAGCTCTGTCACCACTGAATCAGGAAGAATTCTGCACAAGCTATTCAAAGTCCACATATGCACAGAACCAGGGATGATATTCACATCAAAATAAATTAAACCTGAGACTAGATAGTGACTAATTTTATTAAAACTAAAGGATGGTATGGTCCACCTGTAAAATTTCCACAAAGCTAATGCAGTGTGATATGAAATCACACTTAAGGCTAAAACTGCTATGGTAGCATCCAGCCATCTCATGAAGTTATTCAATAAACAAATGTACACACTCAAGCCTGGCTATCCTTTACTCATATAATTATTGAGATAATGCATTAGAATTTCACATAACTTAAGATGTGCACATTGCAAATGTTCATGGGGTGCAGATTTTCTTTATTATATGAAATTTTCAGATATAGCAAAGAGGAAAAAAAAGATCAAAACGTGCCAGTCTGCTTTTGGAAATCGACAATGGTCTATCCACTTTAAAAAGGTTCGGATAGTGGCTGTAGAGCTCTGTAGATCTACTACTGTATATACCCATCCAAACTGTAAAGGATATGGTGGCAAACGTTTGACCAATTATACCTGTAATCCAGATACTGGGTTAGACTCCCTCCATTAAAATAGCTTGGCGCTGCTTCGTTGTTCATCATACTGAGAAACCTGAAAAAAAAAAAACAGATTTGTCATACTGGATTGAATAACAGCCAAAACCTTTAATAGCTTTTAATTATGCAGACGCAGATCCCCACCTGAAGAATTACAGTATAATGATATGCTATACTTAGTTTAATTTGTACACTTACCTCATTTACCTCATAAACAATGTGGTTTTCTTTACATTTTCCATTCCCAATAAACATATTACATATTGCACATATTACATTGTAAACAGAAAATACATAAACAGCAGTAATTCCATGTTTTTACCTGATGTTTGGAAATTTCCTCCTAAGTTCTTCTACAAAAATGGGCAGGTTCTTGATCCTGTTCTTATTGATCCACACTGTGGTGATGCTGGGCATATAAGGGAACTTCACATGAGAGGTGTAGTTGTTGCAGTCCAGAATCAGGGTGGTGAGTTTCTCCAGTTCCCCCAGAACAGCTGGGCTCCAGTGGTGTTTGAATTAAGGAACAGTAAAACCGTACACAGTTTATGAAATGTCAGTGATGTTTTCTAACACAATTTTAACCTCTCTTGTCCTTAGAGCTTTTTTTGTCTGGGGTTGACTTCCCAATCAGAAAACTATCAAAGCAGTTTACAAAACATTACTAGCAGAAGAACAGAAGTAGCAAAAAAAACAACAGATAATAGACACAAGTGTAGACATGTTCATTTCTTTACATAATTATGAACAACAAAGTTAAAATTATAGGAGGAATTTTGCAGTAGAAGCTCTTTTCTCTCCATCCATTTATGCAAAACACCAGAGCCCTCGGGTTAAAGAATGTTATGTTTTTTACCTCCTTTATATGGAAATGAGTTTAAAATTTTCACATGAAGTGAAATTTCTAAGTGTGATTACCTTTTTGTAGCTCTGATGGATTTACAGGCAAAAGTCTGACTTTCAAGTTTGTGAACAAAGTTATAAAAATAGTTATAGAAACATTGATATGCATTATTTACAGTTTTAGAAATGCATTTTCTTTACTTAGTATCAAAGTTAAACTGGGGCTGCATGGTGAGAAATGGTTAGCATTAATTCTGGACCTGGGGTGCTATCTGCACAGAGTTTGCATGATCTCCCCATGTTCATCTGAGTTTCCTCCTGGTGCTCTTGTTTTCCCCCACAGTCCACAGATATACTGGTAGTTAATTGGTAGATTAACTTTCTGTGAAAATTAGCCCTGGTGTGTGTGTGCATACGTGGGTGCGTGTGTGTGTGTCCTGCGTCTGTGTCTGTGTCCTGCAATGGACTTTCGTCCTGTCCAGACTGTATCCCCCCTGGCACCCACCCATTGCCTGCTGGGATAGGCTCCCCCACAACACTTTACTATTTACTATGAAACCCTTATTGGACAGCAGAGATTCATCCACTACCAGCCTTCCAAAGGATACTCCTCCAGCAGATTGTAGCTGAGGTCAAGCACTTCCAGAGTATCCTGATACTGGAGAATGGTGCTGCATGGAATCTCCACCAGGTTCTGGTAAGCAAAGGACAGCCGCCGACAACCCAACATGTAGGAGTCCTGATAGATGTGGGCAGGAGCCTAATGTACTGGAAAAGTGGAGAAGATTGAAAGTATGGTGCTGTGACTGGGCTGTCAGACACAAGGCATTGAGGGCAGCATGAAACATTTTTAAGTGATCACCTATGTCCTCCTTTGCTTCAGTACATACAGACATTTTCCTTCCTGACATTTTTGAAGGTTGTGCAGATTAGCAAGCAAACAATTGAGGTCTTGGCTATACCCAACTAGAGGCTAGAGTTTAACACCCTTGGTTTATTGCCAAAGTGTCTTCTAGAATCTTCCAACTAAAAGTAACAAACTCATAAACTGTTTTTATGGGCATGTTTAAGGTTCTAGATAAATTTGAAATAGGTGCTCAGTTCAAGGTTTTGTCCCTATAATATCTGTGACTCTTGTATTAATTAAGTAACAAGAGTCTGGTTAGAAGGAAAGCTGAGTATATATTGGTATCGTCAATGTACTTAATGTAACAGAACGGACCAGTTGAATCTGGAGTATTAATACCTCGTTAATCCGCTAGGAGGCGTAATGGGAATAATCCAGATGCTGGGAGAGAGCTCCTGTGAATAAGGTTTATCATTCTTCACAAAGAAGTTAGAGAACTCAGCATCAGCTTCCCTCAAACTGATTTCTGACGATAAAAGATGTTAACGCAGAACAGCAGTTGTCTGTTTTTGGTTTCATTGGTAAACGGCAAGGAAAATTACAAAGTAGATAAAATCAAATCGGCTGCTGCTGTGTCAGTTTACGCGTTGAAAATGCATCCAGATCATACTGATCAGCCGGTTCGCTTAGGGCCCGAGTAGCAGGGGAAGCGGGAAGGGGAGAAAGTTATGTATGTTTCTGATCTTGGAAAGGCTAAAAATTTCAGGGGTTGGTCTGGCCTCAGCCTGCTTCTACGTTTCCCCATAAAAAAACCAAGGGGGTTCGTGTGTCGGTACTTTAATCCATGTCGCTACACTATAGACGTATAATACACTATATTACGCTACACAGCAATGTAGAGCTGCAGCTCTATATTGAGTTGGTTGGTTGGTTTCACTGAACTTTAATAAAGATTTAGGTTTTGTCCCTGGTAGCTCTTATATTTACTGAGGTGTTGACCTACAGTAATACTCATTTTGTAACACCTAGGATATCAGATCCCTCAGTGAAGAGTGTGTTTCACCAACTTGTATTGGGAATGCAGAGGAAGCATGTTATTTCAACTTGTACTCCACTTATTCTTGAATGTGGTTACATGAGCTTAAATTAAACGTTGTACTATAAAAAAAATGTCTCTCATTTAAGGCAGAAGTTGTGTTTAGAGTACTGGTCGTGATCTTAAGTAAATTAGTATGGAAGTCCCGTATTTTTGGGTGGAGAGCCAAGACTCTGAAGACAGCTGAGAAGCTGTTGGAATGATTCTAGAATAATACCAAACCCATTAATATGTGAAATTATTTCTAGGTACCTTTGAGGTTTGTAGTTTGTTATATTATACAAAACCATAAAAATAAATGTTAAGCATTGAGGTGTTTGTTTTTATTTGTTTTACATGTAACAATTTTGGTGTTGTTAACAATGAATATTACTAAAAAACCTAAAAGATCACTAAGTCTAGAAAGACTCAAGACACCAAAATAAGCTTACAGCATTCAAGGGCTTATATCCACCTCTCAATAGAAAGTTAAGTACTCTTTTGTTAGGGTCCTCAAACAATAAAATCTGATTTAATCTTATTCCAAGCAATTTGTGTTTTATCATTTCATGTATTCATTTTTTATTTTATTTCTTTAATGTAGATGTGTGTGTGTTATTTTGGATGAACTGAACTCTTTAAGAAGGGTGAACATAAAAGCAGCAAGACATACTAGCAGTTTGTTACAACCCCAGCTGAAGCAATGATTGGAAGTTATTTAAACATTGGTTTAAAACAATATATTTTAAAGATAAATTACAATTCTCCTGGTACAGCTAGTCTCATCACATACTACTCTTTCTCATTCAACTCACCTGGTTTAATGACAATCCACAAAGAAGCTGCTTTCAAAGTATATGTAGCTTTTCTTCTGCATTCGACTCTGTGAAGTAAGCCTGCTCACTGCACATGAAGAGAGTTAATTCATGCTGGGAGGCAGGATCACAAGATCTGGATAATCACATTGTATCTTAACTCTTTCCTCTATGCAGCCCTAATTGCTGAGATCCTGTGAGAATCCCTAGCATGACAAAATAAAAGACAGAGAAACAGAGTTTGTTTGCTTGAATGTACAAATTAGGTTCTTTTTTTAGAGCAAAAGTAGGTCAATAGTCTAAAATTTACTCACTGTGGAAAATACTCATCATATAATAAAATCTATTTTTTTTATTGGGTGCTGGACATCCCTGGTACTCAGGAATGACAATCTACAGGGTTATTGAGACTTTTTTTGTTCATAAATGATTGAGGACATTCATAGGGAAGTTAAGGCGCAAGTAATAGGTTTATTCCATGCCGAAAAGAGAAGAAAGCCGTTTCGGCTGTGGTACCTTCTTCGGGTGTGGGAAATTATATACTGTACATTTGAACAAAAAACAACCAATTAAAGCAACGGAAAGGAATATTTAGTGACTTGGTGGATCAGTATGAGTGTGAGTTTTATGATTTGGTGTGCTTTTCCATGCTTTTCAAATACCATTAGTGTGGGCTTCTCATCAAGTGTAGGCATCTTATCAGATGAGAAGAAGAGTCTAAAAAAAAGCAGTAAAAGCAGTGTTAAAGAAATACATTGATGGGAACTCCTGGGTGATTAATGGGGGATCCAGATGGAGGAAGAATATCTGGGAAGGGGCCCTGCACTTTGGGACCCAAAGATGTCAGACCTATGAAGCAAAGTGAGAATGTCCAAGAGAGCTGCACATGATCAACCTGTGCTGTATGTAACCTGATATCTCCTGAGGCTACACCACCTCAACCTACAGGAGATCTGCTATTAGCCTTATCAGTACATTTGGGCTCATGGTAATCAATTGTCCATGTCTGCCAGTCACAGTCAATGAATGAAAGGACTTTCAAAAAAGGATTTTCCCTATTTTTTCTTGTTGTGGGGGTGGCGAATTGTTTCATGTTCGTGTTTCTCTACGTAAATGTCAGTTTACTTTTTTTTCAACTTTCAAATTAGTACTTCATTAAAAATAGAAAGGAAAAATCATAAATAGAAAAGGAAATATAAGGCAAGTCTTTACAATCCAAACTTTATCGTTATGGTTAAGATTCTTGAAAGTAATATTTTATCACCACTATCATTAACACAATGGTATTGAACTTGAATTGACCTGGCTGTTAGATTTCTTCTGCAGTTCCCTAAATTAC